TTTAAAACAAAACAAGATCAAACGCTACCGACAAAAGTGTACTACTCAAAGTGTACTCTGACATTTTAAAGGACTCAAAACAATCTACAATTTATACCCAAAGTGAAGAATAACCGAGTATTCTCATGAGGGGACAAAATAATTAAAAAAAACTAAATTTCTGAAAACAACAAAATAAAAACCACAAACACTGAATCAAAAAGCTTGAGCGCATTAACTGCCAAAATTGTGACTAAAATTAAACTCTGTAACGAGCACCCTAGTATAGATTTAAGTTATTAGCGACACCTAGTTGTCATACTTTAACTTTCATAACCAATCATGTAAATGAACTCATTCAATTGCAACTCTGAACTTAACCTTTGTATCAATGTTCATTTTTAAGACTATAGAGCTAACTATAATATGAATAAGCTGCCGTAACTGACTGTCACAAAATGAACGAAAAGTCTGTCAAATGCATAAGCAACGTAGTGTAGACTTTTAGGTGGCTATATTTTACTTACATGAGTTCAGTGTTGCCACATTTAATTATATATAACAATAGCCACTATCAAGCAGTTTGTTGTAGATTACACAATTATAGTAACCTAGAAACGCCGAAGAACTATTTGCCTTGCGAAACTTTCAGGATAACTTGGTGTTTCTGTAAAAGGAAACGCTTATGGCCCACTTCCTAATGTGCAACCAGAACTTCTTTTGACCTGTGTTACATGTACGACTGAATCGAAAAAGTTACCATGTTAAAAAATAAGTTACAAAATTACCAAATATGATAAATAAAGAAAACAATTACCAATTTCGGTAAACAAATGCCAATGCGGCAACACTGCATGTGTTACATATGTACATACATACGTACGAGGACAAACAGCTGATTCCGTACGGAAGGTGCGATCAGTTTCGCTCTTTCCTTAAGCAAATGACGTTTGGCGAAACTTGACGAAACTTGATGTTAAGCACATTATAGTTTCAGAATAGGATTTATGTGTATTCGCAAGTTTGCATACGCTTGCTTATTCATATTATAGTTAGCCCTTATAAGAAGAAACGCAACATAGACAAGTCATCATTCGGCGATCGAAAGGCAATACGGTAAGATGTAAAGTAGCAGGCTAGAAAAGTGACGGCCGCCTGCAATGGAGTGGTTGTTCTAGTTGAACGACGATAAGTCGGCCGCATGGAGCGCAGCTATTGTATTTTGTAGTTGACTGCGCTGCTTGTTGGACGACGATAAGTCGGCCGCCTGTAACGTAGTTGTTGTTTTTGTGACTACTGTCCGTTATCCGTGCTTGGCGATGAGCCGACCGCTTGCCGCTTAACGTTCACTAAGTCTTGACGATGCATAAATGCCTTTGGATTGCTAATGGTGTGTTTTTCTTTTATATTTAAAACAGATTGAACACTAAAACTGTTGTGTTGTGTGAACGCTGTGTGTATATGCGTCGTTCTATGTATACGTTTTTGTACAAGCCCCGTGTTTCCGTTTTATAAGCGAATTTAATACACATATGTACCATCACATTGCACCCCGTTTGCTGGCAAATTATTAAAATGAAATTATTTTATTAAAACCCACTACAACTCGTGTTTAAAAATTCTTCCGAAAGACTTAAATTTACAAGTTGACTTGAAGTTGCTGAATTGTGATTTAGAAAAAAAATTCATTTGAATTGAATTTTGTTCTATGACACGCATATGTGCATATACGAATGTGTAGCTAATAAAAGCTATAGCAAATCATCAACAATAACATCAGCAGCAGCAGTAAAGAGATTGTCAACAGAAGGCACAGCTGGAAGAAATCATCAACACCAACAAGATAAGGAGCAGCACCATTTATGTAAGACTGTTTTTATTTTATGTAGTTTAAATCATATAAGAAATTGCAACAAAGCTGGAAAGTTTATTAAGCACATTTTCAATAATGTCAATGACAAACAATGATATCAATAACGCATCCAATAGGGACGAGGTTAATTACACTCAGTTAGAGGCTTTGAACAGATCAAACAATGTTATTGAATACGTAAAAGAAACGATTGAACCCAGTATAACTTGCGACGAAACTTTGGACGTAATAAAGTCCGTTCCAAAATGCAAAGGAAAAATTTATAATTACGTTAGTTGGCGTGAGGCAGCCAACAACTCTGTGTCATTGTATACGAGGGCAAGTAGGAAGTACTTGCCTCTTTGACAATCATAAGGAACAAAATAACGCAAGAAGCAAACGACATTCTCACCAAACATGGTACAGCTATAAACCTTGATGCGATTCTAAGTCGATTAGATTTTGCATTCGCCGACAAAAGACCATCACACATAATAGAACAAAAGATAAGTGTGCTGAGACAAGGATCGAAATCCTTGATAGACTTCTACAACGTGGTCAATCAAAAACTAACGTTTCTAATAAACAAAACATGTATGACTCAGGACACGAACTCTGCCATTACTAAAGAACTTAATAAGAAGAATAGGGAAACATATCCGTCATTACTAGGGAAGACAAAAATATGCACAAAAAACTTAATTATATGATGATTTAAATGACTCCAAAATATTAAAAATATGTTTGATATATGCCCCAAAAATGTATACATATAACGAAAATTTTTCCGATTATCGCAATAAAAGTTTTTGTACATACATACATATATGTATTGAAAATGAACGCTCTACGTGCCAAGACTTTGATGGACACATTTTAAAAGATAACAATTCTCCAGGTGAAAATATTGCAACATTGTATTGAAGTGTTGCTTCCCACCAAACATTTTTGTTGTTGTTGCAGTTACAGTAGATGTAGAATAAATTACGCTGATTAGACGAAGAATTTTCATTGAATTTTTCAACTACCAAAACCGGTTTAGAGCGAAACTTCACTATTGGAAAACAACAGTCGAAATATTTTTATGAGTATATTAAAATTATTTACTATACAGTTAAACAGCTTTCGCTAAAAACGAAAAATGTTCATTGAGTTTTTCAACTTCACTATTGGAAAACAGCAGTCGAAATATTTTTACGAGTATATTAAAATTATTTACTAGAAAATAACAGAACTTTCCATTGTTTGTAAGCCTTTTCTTTTTGTCAATTAAACAAACCTCGTCGGAAACCCTGGCTATCTCTGCAAAGGTATTGTTACATGAAATTATGCGAAAATTAATTAACTTATTACCAAAATAATCATTTATGTGCTATTTTATGCATTTTCGCCAAAATATGTATTTTGTGTCATAATATGCATTTGCATATGCGATATGCATTTGCATATGCGATAGGCATTTGCATACGCGATATGCATTTGCATATTTTTGCCTTCCCTAGTCATTACAAGTACAAAATAAGCAAATAAATTATGGAAATGCACAAATGAGAAAAAACAGCATGAGTTGGCAAAATCATAATGTGCAGGGAAATGGAAGTGCGCAAACAAGCGCACAAAAGCAACAGAAATTGCAACGTGTTAGCAACATAATACTAAGTTCAAATTGACGAGTTAAACATGTTAAATGGGTTTGAACCAGTTACATGAACAAAACATGTTTATAAACAAGTTAAATCGCAAAGTCCGAAGCGTTAACCACTGAGCTATGCACACCCCGTAAACTCTTGTTGCTAATTCATTTCCTTTTTCAATCTACCACTATCAAGTGCAGCTGATTTGTCGCTATTCAAACTTGACAGCGTGGTTTTGTTGTCAATTTATTTTCTTTTTTGTACAGTTTCAGGCAGGCTCTTCTTAAACTATGATTTGTCAATGTTATTGTGGCTAGTTAACGTTTCATTTTTAATATTGTTATTGAGCTTTGTTCCACGATTATGTTTATTAGGAAAAATGGACAAAGCAACAAAGTCTAAACAGTACTTAGAAGTTGTAGCAGCTATTTCGGAGATCACCACATCTCCTCAGCAGACTTCTTTTTTCTAGACTTCAGCAGGGCTCGAACCCGCGTCATCAATGAGCAAAGTCAGAAGCGTGAACCACTGAGCTATGCACACCCCGTAAACTCTTGTTGCTAATTCATTTGCTTTTTCAATCGACTACTGTCAAGTGCAGCTGATTTGTCGCTATTCAAACTTGAAAGCGTGGTTTTGTTGTCAATTCTATACATTTATTTTCTTTATTGTACAGTTTCAGGCAGGCTCTTCTTAAACTATGATTTGTCAATGTTATTGTGGGTAGTTAACGTTTCATTTTTAATATTGTTATTGAGCTTTGTTCCACGATTATGTTTATTAGGAAAAATGGACAAAGCAACAAAGTCTAAACAGTACTTAGAAGTTGTAGCAGCTATTTCGGAGATCACCACATCTCCTCAGCAGACTTCTTTTTTCTAGACTTCAGCAGGGCTCGAACCCGCGTCATCAATGAGCAAAGTCAGAAGCGTGAACCACTGAGCTATGCACACCCCGTAAACTCTTGTTGCTAATTCATTTGCTTTTTCAATCGACTACTGTCAAGTGCAGCTGATTTGTCGCTATTCAAACTTGAAAGCGTGGTTTTGTTGTCAATTCTATACATTTATTTTCTTTATTGTACAGTTTCAGGCAGGCTCTTCTTAAAATATGATTTGTCAATGTTATTGTGGGTAGTTAACGTTTCATTTTTAATATTGTTATTGAGCTTTGTACCACGATTATGTTTATTAGGAAAAATGGACAAAGCAACAAAGTCTAAGCAGTACTTAGAAGTTATAGCAGCTATTTCGGTGATCACGACATCTCCTCATCAGACTTCTTTTTTCTAGACTTCAGCAGGGATCGAACCCGCGTCATCAATGTGCAAAGTCCGAAGCGTTAACCACTGAGCACACCCCGTAAACTCTTGTTGCTAATTCATTTCTTTACGGCGCGTTTACATTAGACAATGCTGTCAAGACAATAAACAAATACGTATTAGTTGTAAAAAACGCTGATAATTGTCTCCGTAGCGTAGGCGTCCTGACAATAATTAAGACAATTCATTTTGAGCAAAATGTCGAACGTAAACGTTGAATTATAAGGTGCAGAAATACGCATTTCGCGCGTGCTATTTAAGCTAAAAACTAAAAAATAATAAAGAAGAGACAAAGTTACATACACATCAGCGTCTCTTGTGGTATTTTAATTCTTTTGTTATGAATTTCTCTTCTATCTTGCACCAGACGTCAAAATTATTGTCTGCATACGTCAAATCATTGTCCGATTTACTGTCTTGAAAATAATCAAGACAGTGATTCAGACAATTGGAAAAGTATGCATGTATTAGTGAAAAAGTGTGCATGTATTGCTATTGCCATGACAGTATTGTCCGGTGTAAACCCTAAGTTCTTCAACCTACTACTATCAAGTGCAGCTGATTTGCTTCTTTTTAAACTTGACAGCGTGGTTTCAGTTGTCAATTCGATACATTCGTTTTGTTTTATTGTATAGTTTCAGGCGCGCTCTTCCTAAACTAAGTCTTTGTTAAGAGTTTACGGGGTATGACTGTGCCTTGGTTAATGCTTCTGACTTTGCGAGGAGATGTGGTGATCCCCGAAATAGCTGGGATAACTTCTACTGCTTTTTTCCATTTTTTCTAATAAACACCACGATTAAAAAAACTCAATAACAATATTAAAAACGAAATGTTAATAAGCCAAAATAACATTGACAAATCATAGTTTAGGAAGAGCCTGCCTGAAACTATACAATAAAGAAAATAAATATTTAATTATATATACAACAGTAAGCACGCTGTCTCTTTTTTTTATCTACTTCTAACTTATCAAATTTTTTTAAACTTTTGATAGAAAATTGTTTCTTTTTATTTTAGGTTCTCAGCTCACGGTGGACGCTGTAGACGTGACGGAAATTTCGACACATGGCGACGTTGGAGTACTTCCGGAAGGATTGGTGCTTGGTGAAGGAGGTGCACTTTCTAGCATCTCAATGCACTCTTATTCTGAGAGTGCAACGGTCGGCGAAGATTGGTGCAATGGTGGGCAAATAGTAAGTATTGTAAATTGTTTGTTGTACAATAAAGTTAATTGTACTACAATTTGGTCATCGTTAGCATTTATTTAACAATCCAGCGATACGAACCGAGCGATTTGGGAAATCCCTTTGGAAAATGGCAAAAATTCAAGACCTAAAGATCGAGGAACTCAAACAGGAGTTGGAGAAGCGAAATTTAGCAACCTCAGGAAGAAAAGTGGAGTTACTATCACGGCTGCGAGAGGCTATGGAAGCAGAAGGCATCGACTTGGACAAATACGACTTCCAGGGTAAACCCGACGATACATCCGCAAAGGACGAACAGAAGGATGAGGCTGCATGTTCATCGATGGATGTGCATCAGACATCCGGGAGGTTTGAAGAACAGAAAAAGGCTCCTTCGTCATCAACAGCTATGGACATGAACACGTTATTGGCTGCCATGTCACAGATGTCATCACAGATTTCATCCCAGCTGCAAATGCAGGAAACACGCTTGTCATCGCAGCTGGAAGCACAAAAAACGTACATGTTGAATTTATTCAAAGATAACGCGGAACTCAGGGAGAGACAGGATAAAATCGAGGAACGACAAGATAAGATCGAAGCGCTTATTAAGGAAAAACAGGACAAAGTCGAAGCTAAGGTGGATGAGCTTGAAGATCGTCTCCGGGGTTTGCAGTTGAATCGTCCAGCTAATCCGAAGAACGCTCTGCTGCACCGCCGCTGCATTGTTCGTTGCATTAAAAGGACCTGCAGCGGAAATCTTGCAGACTATTCCTGATTGTGAAAGGAACAGTTACGATGCGTTAATGGGTGCAGTGGAAAGACGTTATGGTAGCGAGCACAGGATACAGATTTACCAGATGGAGCTGGAGAATCGCTTCCGGAAATCCAACGAGACTCTACAGGAATTCGCCTCCGAGATTGAAAGGTTGGCTCATTTGGCAATTGGAAATACATATGGTGAGCACCTCGAAAGAGTAAAAATCCAGAGGTTCATCAACGGAATGCGGGACATGTATACCAAGCAAGAGATGTATACGAATCCAAAGCCAACATTTTCTGAAACGGTCTCGTATGCTCAAACACGTGAAACGGCGGCGCTCCTAAGTAGAGCAGCCTACAAAGCCCATCGATTAGAAGTGGAGACACCTGACGTGATGAACGAGATCCTGAAAACACTCAAGTCGATGGCAGGGAAGAATACTCCTGGTGCAACCGAGAGAAAGGATGGTGTAAGGAAGTGCTTTAGTTGCGGAAAACCAGGCCATTTGGCACGCGAATGTAGGACGGGTTCCAACAGGTCTAACAGTTCAGCAGTACGTAAACGCAGGACTGAGGATGACAAGCCCAACTCCGATCAGTCGTTAAACTAAAACGAGCCAGCAGTAAGGGGCGCGCGCTGGCTCCCGCAATTGCATGCCCCATAATCTCCGTCTCGCAAATCGGCAGAAAAGCGAGCAACGTTACTGTTGGTGGATATGTGGACGGACATGAGCGAGTACTAACTGTGGATACGGGCGCATCGCATTCCATCATTCGATCTGATTTGGTCACTAAAGAGGTAAGGCCATTACCTAGAGCAAGGTTGAGGACAGCAACTGGTGAGGACACCCAAGTTGTAGGAGAGATAACATGCAAAGTCGCAATAGGGAATGTGACAGTGTTACACGAGTTCATAGTTTCGGCGATTGTGGATGAAGTCATATTGGAATATACTTCTTATTTGATCAAGGTATGGAGATCGACAAGAAGAACAGGATCGTGAAGTACAACAACATGGAAGTGCTCCTTAGCTTTTAGAGTGATCCTAAAGGAAACCGAGTGGATTCCACCGAAGTCAAAAGCAGTTGTGTGGGCGAAGATTGATGGAGATTGTGGGACAAACAAATTGTGGGTTGTTGAAGTAACACAAAATTCTACACCGGACGTAATTATTGGTAAAACCCTAGCTAAGATGCAGAAAGATGGACGCATCCCAGTTCGAGTACTCAATGAGTTCAAATCACCAGTCAAACTCCGAAGAGGAACAGTACTGGGGCAATGTCGAGATGTAGAGGCAATCTTCAACTGCGAAAAATTACCTGAAAGCGATTCCATTGGCGAGAATGACATATCCGAAGACTTTAATGCATGGAGGGAAGCGTTGGAAGAAAAATACCAGCACAAGGCTAAGGAACTTCTCCGCAGATACTCCAACATATTCGACAAGGATGGCGACAAACCAGGCAGGACAAACGTTGTGAAACACCGCATTGATACTGGCGATGCAAGGCCAATCCGTCAAGCTCCTCGGAGTGTTCCACTTGCCAAACGTGAAACTGTTAGCCAAATAATAAAAGAAATGAGCGAGAGTGGTGTGATTGAACCATCAGCGAGTCCATGGAGTTCGCCGGTAGTACTTGTGAAGAAGAAGGATGGTCAAATGAGGCTCTGCGTAGACTACCGGAAACTAAACGATGTGACGAAAAAGGACAGCTATCCTCTTCCCAGGATCGATGACACTCTGCTGAACTACTTGGGACACAAGGTGACAACGGAGGGCGTCTGTACTACGAAGGAAAAGATAGAAGCAGTAAAGGATTGGCCAAGACCTAGGAACCTGCACGAACTACGAAGTTTTCTTGGGCTATGCACCTACTACCGCCGATTTGTTCCGAATTTCGCCAGCGTAGCTTATAGCCTTCACGAGCTCATTAGGAAAAATAAAGCCTTCGAGGGGAACAAGGAGCAGGAGGAGGCTTTCCAAACTCTGAAGGAACGGCTATGTACTGCACCTATGCTAGCTTATCCTGTTCCAGGTGCAACGTTTATTTTGGATACGGATGCTAGTGGTTATGCCATAGGAGGCGTACTGTCGCAGGTAATTGATGGGCAGGAGAAGGTAGTTGCCTACTATAGCCGGTCGATTGGAAAACCAGAGAGGAACTACTGCGTAACTCGGAGAGAACTACTAGCGTTGGTGGACTGCGTCAAACATTTCCACAAGTACCTCTATGGGCAACGTTTCCGAGTTCGAACGGACCATGCAGCGCTGAAGTGGCTACTACAGTTTAAGAATCCAGAAGGACAGCTAGCTCGGTGGATTGAGAGACTGCAAAGTTATGACTTCGCTATTGAGCACCGCAAGGGAAGTGTCCACGGTAATGCTGATGCCATGTCCCGCCGACCATGTAGCCTGGAATGTAAACACTGCTCAAAAGCTGAGGGAAAAGAGGACATTATAGACGTCCGTCTAACGACAATAACACCAGCGGAAGAGTGGAAGGAAGAACAGCTACGAAAGTGTCAGCAGGAAGATCCAGATCTGGAGCTTTTGATGCATGGACTGGAGGTGGACAGGAGGCCAACTAAGGAGCAAATGGCAGCGGAAAGCCCCATCGCAAAGACGTACTGGGCACAATGGAACAGCTTACAATTAATATCTGGCTGTTTGCACAGGGTATAGGAAAGTGCAGATGGGCAGTGCTCCCGCAACTTAATAGTAGTTCCAAGGGTAAGAATTCGGGACGTTCTCAAGAAATTCCACAATGGTCCCAGCGGAGGGCACTTGGGAATCACGAAGACCCTGGAAAAGATCAAGCAAAGGTTCTATTGGGTTGGTTGGCGGCAATCGGTCGCAGAGAGGATTGATAACTGCGCGGAGTGTATTGCAGGTAAAGGTCCGAAATCCAGAAGTCATGGCCAGATGAAGCAGTATAATTCATGTGCACCATTCGAGCGGATTTCCATGGATGTAGCCGGTCCATTTCCTATGAGCGCACAGGGAAACAAATATGTCCTTGTGGTTATGGACTACTTTAGCAAATGGCCGGAGGTATACCCGATTCCAAACCAGGAAGCTAAAACAGTAGCGGAGGTATTCACCTACAATTGGGTTGCGAGATACGGTGTACCGATAGAGCTGCACTCTGACCAGGGAAGAAATTTTGAATCGGCGGTATTCCAAGAGATGTGGCAATTACTGGGTATCCGGAAAACTCGAACAACGGCTCTTCATTTCCAATCCGATAGCATGGTGGAGCGGTTCAACCGAACCCTGGAAGAGCATTTGCGGAAGGTCGTGGACAAGAATCAGAAAGATTGGGATGTCCGCATACCCTTGTTCCTGATGGGATACCGGTCAGCAGTGCATGAAACAACGGGTAAAACTCGTGCAAGGGTAATCTTCGGCAGTGAGCTCCGTTTGCCTAGTGACCCGAAGTTTGGAGTAATTGGCGATGCAAGGAGAATTGGGAAAGAGACGTCCAACATCCTGGAAGAGGAGTTGAGAGAAATACATGCTCTTGTGAGACAGCGAACTCAAATTATGAGTGACAAGATGAAGGCCAGGTATGA